TGTATGTACGTATATACGTATGTACGTATGTACGTATGTACGTATGTACGTATGTACGTAAGTACGTATGTACGTGTGTTCGTATGTAAGTATGTACGTATGTACGTATGTACGTATGTACGTATGTACGTATGTACGTATGTACGTATGTACGTATGTACGTATGTACGTATGTACGTATGTACGTATGTACGTATGTACGTATGTACGTATGTACGTATGTACGTATGTACGTATAAAAGCTTGTTATTAAAACGTTTTTTATGAAAAAATATTAGTACTTTACATGTTTTATTTACAAGATTTAGGTGTGTGTGTGTGTTTTTATTTGCTCGTGAATCAGTTGAATCAAGTATGAATATTTTATTCGACAGAAAAATATTTGCGTCTATATTTAATCAAACAGGGATTAGACAGGAAACTCATTTTGTTTAAGTAATGCACAATCTCTATAAGACTATAAATCCTATGCTTTAATTAGACATGAATTTAATTAGACAGTTATTTCATTTTTATCACAAACTTGATTCAAATGGTGTATGTATGTATGTATGTACGCATGTATGTATGTACGTATATACGTATGTACGTATGTACGTATGTACGTAAGTACGTATGTACGTGTGTTCGTATGTATGTATGTATGTATGTACGTATGTACGTATGTACGTATGTACGTATGTACGTATGTACGTATGTACGTATGTACGTATGTACGTATGTACATATGTACGTATGTAAGTATAAACGCTTGTTATTAAAACGTTTTTTATGAAAAAATGTAGTACTTTACATGTTTTATTTACAATAGACTTACATGACTAAAAACCATTACGCACCTATTGAACGTGATGACGTCCTATTGAACGTAATGACGCGTATCTAATAGTGAGGAATAGTTTGATGAGTCAGCCTACTAATTTGGACAAAATTTTAATTAATTCATAAAAAATTAACCAGGCATCCAATTAAGTAAAATTAAATGTCGTGTTGCATTGTCTTCATGTCTTGACCCACCTGCCAACTACGAACCTTATCTGTCCGATAGAAGTGCCTGCAATTTCGCTCGGGCGTTTTGATCTAGACAGACTGACGACTGACGACAGAGGAAGTGAGTTAAATGAAAGTTTGTAAAAAAAATTTCTTAAAAAAAATGAATAACAAGATTTTATGTAATAATGCGCTAAAAAGGAGAAAATAAATTATACACTACTATTTAAATAACTATAAACAAATGCGTGGGTTATTATTATAATTTATTTTCTCCTTTTTATGTGCATTATTACATAAAAGCTTGTTATTAAAACGTTTTTTTTTTATGAAAAAGATTTTAGTACTTTACAAGTTACAATAGAGTTACATGACTAAAAACCCTTGCGCACATATTGAGCGTGATGACGCGCTATTGAAGGTGATTACGCGTGTGGAGTAGTTGAATTATACTGCTTTCTAAGTTGGTCAAAATTTTAATTAATTCATAAAACATGAATCAGGCGACCAATTAAGTCAAATTTAATGTCACGATGCATTGTCTTCATGTCTTGACCCACGTACACGTACCAACTATGAACCGTATCTGTCAGACAGAAGTGCCTGCAATTTCGCTCGGCCGTTTCCATCTAGACAGACTGACGACTGACGATTGACGACTGATGACAGTGGAAGTGAGTTAAATAAAAGCTTGTAAAAATACACGACATCCTATTCAAACAAAAAGCGAAAAACCTTTATACACCACAATTATTAGGGCCAGTGAACACAATATAATAGACATCAAAGATACATTTAGAAACCTACATAATAAACGCATTACACCAAAAGAAACGGAAGTAGCATAAACACTGATTTTTAATACAACACCAGTTTAACGAAATACAAAGTCAAATCAAAAAGTAAAAATAACATGTAAAACGTGTTAACAAAATATACAAGGAACTAAGAAACACATTTATTTAGATTGTATATTAGTACAGAAAGCAAAGCAAAACACTTGCGAAAATATTAAAAAACAATCTATCAAACAGCCAAAACAAATAAAACAATTACACTTAACTTAATTAACACGACTAGAAAATGTAAAGAAGACGAAAACAATCTAGTAGCAACGGCTATTTATAGATCGACTATATGGGAATATAGGAATAAAATCGGATTTTATTTGAAAAAATACTTTGACATTGAGATAAAAAAAATATTTCAAGCAAAGCTGAGTCGGACTGGGAACCCTCACCTAACTAAAAAAAACTTATAGGAAAAATAAAATACTTAAAAAAAACTTTTTAAAAAACCACGTTTTTCTTGTGGGTACGTTCACCATCAAATTTCCCAACCCATCTGCCCGACCCACGTTTTTTGTCATCAAATGTATGAACAGTCATCACAAGAACCTGCACAGCTCGAGGAAGCACAAAATCTACGAGCAGTCATTGGTAGATCCCCTAGGGTCGGAAGAAAAATTTATTTTCTACTTTTTAGTCTACAAGAAAAACGTGGTTTTTTAAAAAAGTTTTTTTTAAGTATTTTATTTTCTCCTTTTTAGTCCGTTGCTACACATAAAAAAAGTGGTTTTTAAAAAGTTTTTTATATAATTTATTTTCTACTTTATCTAATGACTTGATTAAGTATGACTTGACTAAGTGTTTTTAAATACACGGACTAAAAATCTTGAGCGACCGATACGCTTTAAACAGAGAAGGGGCGTAATTTAATTAAGCTAATTTAGGTCTCTAATTGCTAGTTTTTTATGATTGCATCTGAAATTGTTAGGCGATGACATTTGATGACACGAATTTTGGAAATTTGATGGTGAACGTACCCACTTTTTTTGTCATCAAATGCCGTGACCAGGATTCGAACCTGGGTTGTCGCGGCCACAACGCGAAGTACTAACCACTATACGATCACGGCCAGCGCGCTCACATCGATTGGGGCCGAAGTAACTGTGTCAATAGGCCTCCAGTCTTGTCGGTATCTTTAGAAATCATGTCCTCAATTTTAGGGTCCTTGGGGCGTAATTTAATTAAGCTAATTTAGGTCTAATTGCTAGTTTTTATGATTGCATCTGAAATTGTTAGGCGAAAATAGCCTGCATGCCGAATTTCAGATCTCTAGAGCAATCAGAAGTGGGCTAATTTTCGTTGTCAATTTTAACAACAAACCCACAAACAAACGCGAAGCTGAGCTAAGAAAAACGTGTTAATAAATAAAAAAAATAAAGAATTAATATTAATCAAGTCGGTCTCAAGCCAAACATCACATGATCAACCTTCGAGTAAATTAACAGTAGAATAGTCAATTTGTGCGCTTTTTGCAAGTTAAATTAATAATTAATTTGAGTTCATCCACTTGTATTAATAACGTACAATAGAAAAAAATATTTACTATTAACTGTGCATATTTTAAAATTATCACTCATAGATTTATTTTGAATAACTGATAAGTCAAGCAATGACCGGAGAGGGGTGACACCAAAATCTTATAATTTACGATGAAAACGATACTTTTTCCACATAAATCAATAGGTGTATTAATATAATGTGCTCACAAATTGGCGCAATTAGGCAATTATATAAGCCTATGTAGGCCTACACCATTATATATATATATATATATATATATATATATATATATATATATATATATATATTTATTTATTTATATATATATATATATATACATTTTTGGAGGGGGTGACACCACGAGATGCCACACCGGGTGACACCCGACCTAGCGATGCTACTGTGTATGTCATTTCATGCTAAGTTAAAGTTAGAATTTAAAAGAACACGATGAATGCCGAGAGCGTTGGAACATTGTATTAAATTATATTAAGTATAACATAATTGCAACCTACATACTTCATACTAAATATTTTTCGTGTGTTATAAATATTAATATATACGACATATACTCTGGTGTGGGGGTGGATGAGTGATGATCCAGCTGAATAAAAAATCTAAAACCGCTGTAAGCTGATTCTTTAACAGATATAAAATGTTTAGCAACCCCAACACATCTTCCCCACCCACCTTCACCCCCGCATTCTATTTTTACACACTGTGAGAGTAAATGATATAGGCCCTAGCAACAACTAAATGTGTCATCAGTAAGTGAATGCGTCTGTATGAAGGCGGGGATAGTGAGTTGAATACGGTATTAGATAGTTTATATAGGTCATGTGAGGGGGAAGGCGTTGCTTATTATTTCCTTTAAAGCCAGTATGCTTTCAACAATAAAAAATTCGTTTAGATGATATATTCTCATAGCATAACCTGCTTGAAAAAAGAAAATTACAATGCGCTGATTGTTCCATCCCACCCCCACCCAGTCCTATTTCTTCACCATAGAAGGGCCACCACTGTATATAGATTTTTTTAAAAAAAACACATCACATTGACCTAGCAACTTTAGGAACTACGTTTCAATCTGGCGTTATGATTGGGGGAGGGGATTGGAGAGGGATGATCAAGGTGAATCTAACACAATTCAAACTATTTTTAGTTGATTGTATAACGAATCCTAAATTCACATATTTGAAGTGTTAATAGTATACCCACGAAATAAATTAATCATTTTGTTTAGATATCAAAAATGTCATTTCAATTAGCTTTCAGTGTGTGAGCGTGCATTGAGCAATTCATCGTGTGTATGCGGGGACATTTTTACCGATTATTGTTTTTAGAGCGTAATTCCATGCCCATAGGTACATCGAGCCCACAGTGTGCGAAAAGGGGCGGGGAATTATGTAAAACCACACCAATGTGCGAAGCTGGTCCAATTGCGACCGAAGGGTCTTGTATGCCACGAGTGTTACTTTGATGATGTGTGGGTTATGTGGCGATCGAGGAAACTAATCCTACTATGTCAGTCAGCCACAATTTTGAAGCTCCTCCCATATCGAGAAAAAACGAACTATTTATTGGTTTTTTCATATAACCAATGAAACCTTCATTTTTAATAGTAACCAATACTAATGCTTAAATATAACACGTTATTTTATATTGGTAGGCCCTGTTTTCCGGATACATTGTGGGTCAACATTATATTAGGCCACTTTTATTTCCCCGAATAGCGCCAGGTATTTATTGCAGTTCAGTGGCCTTTATATGCCCAGAAGATTTGTTTCTATGACCAGTTTGCAACAAAAACTAGACTTGTGATCAGAAAATACTTTGGTATTTTTTAAACTCTACGGCTAGATATTTTCCGGACATAGACGGCTGTCGAAGTAGATGATCAAAATGACGTCATTTCGTCTTCATTTGGTGATTTTTCTACTCAGCATCGCTGGTGCCTTATGCCGGAATTTCATGAAGAGCATTCTACACAACCGAGGTAATAAATAATGTTGTCGTGCTTCAAAACATGTTTTCTAATTTTATTCATATTTTTTTTTGTTTTTAAACCATCTGTTAAGGTACTTTCATAATAGCACTACCAAGTCAAATGTTGTTTTTTTTTAAAATAAGGCTAATGTAAAACTTTAGTTCTGTAACTGTCTGGATTAGGGATAAACGGTATTAACGTTTTACTAACATTACGACTAAGTAGAAGAGTAAAAGAAATTATTTTTGAACGTGTGCAAACGAAGTATAGAGAAAGTCTTATAATCGTGCAAAAAAAATCGAGATATTTTCAAATCTCGATGTTTTACAGCTCCCTGAGTAAGAAAAACATAGTTTTGCAATCTTGTCTGTATGTCTCTGTGTGTGTATGTGTGTGTCTGTGTGTGTGTCTGTGTGTGTGTAAACACGATAACTTGAGTACCGTTAAAGCTAGGTTGATGAAATTTCATATATAAGTATTTTATTAAAATAGTAGATCCTAATCAACTTTTGAGCGATTTCCGATTTTCTGTCTTCTTTTAAACTTTGAGTAATTTCTGTTTACCGGAAGTAGTAACTTTTGCTATTTCCGATTTCTCAAAAAATGCATGTGAATTTATAAAGTATTAATAATATTCTGCACTATTATGGACATTTTATTTGGCGTTAACTTGGTGTGCAATTCTTTTTTCTACGAGATTATATTATATTATTATAGAAGTTTAAGTATTGAAAATGGAATAAAAATCATGTCTATATCCCAAGTTGCCATCCCCTGTTGTTTCATATAAGAATATTCGGAAAGTTTAGAGAAGATCACTCCCGGTTTATTTAAATAGTAGTGTTAAATGTTTGTAACGTTAAGATAACGAGGGTCTGGTGCAGGGCGTCTGTAAATTGATGCAGTGGAATTCGTTTTCTTAGTAAAGTCAAAACATTGGAACCGCTTGTAGATCGAAAGGTAAAAATTAAAAATTACAATTACATTACTACTGTGATTTTTTTTTAAAATGTAGTGTAGTGTTCATACTTTAAGCCTTTTTTAAAATGGTAAAATAAAGTTAATGACATCTCATAAGAACGCATTTCGCAAAAATACTACACATCAATGTGCAACAAGTAGGCGAGCAAGCGTATAACAGCAATTATACGTAGACAATATTAGCACAATCATACAACATTGTTCATAAACTAATTCGAGAAAATTTTAAAAAAAACCTTATCTCTCATAAGACTTTGGTATGATCTTCAAGTGAGAAATATAAGTTGGCACTGTTGGTTAAGAGTTACTCTTTCCGCCGTCATCGTATAGTAAAATAACATTTTTAAAAAATGTTTGTCAAATTCTACGCAATTTTTTTGACATTGCTGGTTGTTGGCTCCTTTGGGAAACGCAGCTTCAAGAGTTATCTGCACGATGCTAGGGTCTACGACCAATTCCCGAAAAATCTTAATTTTAAAATATAAACAACTGTGTTTTATGCATAGAATTGTGTTTGTTATCAAAATTTCAAAATTAAATTGATTAAGAATGTATATTTGGTAATATTATTAATTATCTAATATTAACATTTTTCCGGCAAACGGCTTTAGGGCAAGTGGAATTCGGGCATTTGTCGCATTCGGGCAGGTGTCCATTCGGGCGTTTGTCGCATTCGGGCAAGTGTCCATTCGGGCATTTGTCGCATTCGGGCAAGTGTCCATTCGGGAAATCGGTCTTCGGGCAAACGGCATACGGGCAAGTGTCTTTCGGGAAAACATCAAGTCTTGAGTCTAGTTTTTGCGTAACTCTTGCTAGATCTAATCATCTATATATATAATTCTCTTCTTCGAGCCGTTAGAAAACAAGCTGCAAACGCTCTCCCTACCTCCCCACCCCTACATGGTTTTAGTGAGCTGTGTTCACTCTAAATGTTTACAAGCAGAGCCAACGATTTTAAACGTAGGGGGGGAGGAGGGGGGGGGGAGGGAAGGAAGGGGGGGGGGGGATTATAGTCCTTAACGAGCTACTTATAGTGTTTTAAAGAAATATTTTCAGTGTCAGCGTTGGTACTGTCGAATTCACAAATTATGAATTATTGAAAATTAGAAACAACTAAATAGCGGCGTATGTTATGTCGCGGGCCGGCTCGTTAGACCTATTCTAGCTAGATAGATCTAGATCTAGATAGATAAATCACAAAGATTTATATCAAGTATTTAACGACTAAAAAATGTATTATGATTATAAAATCGATTGTATTTTTATCTAATTAATCTTTCGTTTGTATATAATTAATCTTTGGTTTGATCAAGATTCTATATCTAGATCTATAAATAACTTTCTTGGCCACCTGATATTTAGATCTATAAATAAATAGATAACTTTCTTGGACAGTTTGTACAGCTAGAGAAATTTATTGTAAAACTAAATGAAAAAGACAGTTGAAAGTTAATATAACTATTGGAACGTAATAAATACAGCAAACGGACGTATTGTTAAAGTTATGACCGAAGATAATTAGCTTTAGAAAGAGTTAAATTTTTGAATGGGCCACAAAGTCTATGATGGAAGCCGCCATCTTATTGTACTAAAAAATAAACAAATCATGTGACGTTACTATGCAGTCAAGGTAAAGCCATTGTTTGAAAAATTTAAAATTAATGTGGTTAATCTACCTATGAATAAATCAATAAATTAATTAACATCTTGAAATAAATTTGTGATTAACAGTCTGTCTGAAAACAGAAATTGTTCTCTACCTACATACTATTTTACAGCTCACCACCTAGCGCCGATTCTCTCCAGACAAACAAAACAACAAACAAACAAATAAATATTCAAACATGTAAATAAACTTGAGTTTTAGTAGTATACTAGACTACCCGTTATCTAGTTAGATAACTGTGGGTTTCGGGGGTCATCCATAAATGACATCACGTCTGTCAGCACTTATCATTCCAAAAAAACCAGACCCCACATTCAAAAAGACGTTTTTTTTATATTTTAAAAACTCTACTAAACTCTACTTCACGTGCCCAGTGTCCCGCCAAGTCTCAGACAAGAAAAATTAATTGAAAACATTGATGTAAATAAGAAAATAAATCTTTTTACTATTAGTAAAATCATTGTTCTAAACTTTTATAATAAATGTCGTTAATATACCAATGAATATATCAATAAATTAATTAACGGCGTTAAATTAGTTTGTAATTAACAGTGTGTTTAAGAAAGAACAATGAGTTCCACCCAAAATCCTATTTTACAGCTCTACACATAATGTAAATACTCCCCAATAAGAAATCAGACAAACAAACAAACAAAAAAATGAGTTATCAAACATGTAAACTTGAGTTTTAGTAGTATACTAGACTACCCGTCATCCCTTGGATAACACTGGGTTTCGGGGTCATCCATAAAAAACATCACGTCTGTCACTTTTCGTCACAAAAACCAGACCCCACATTCGAAAAGATTATTTTTATCTTTTAAAAACACCGAAAACACCGATTTTGGACTATCCCTTCATATACTGACGTCACAGGTGACCTACTCAACTCTACTTCACCTGCCCAGTGTTCCGCCAAGTCTCAGACAACATGTTTTTATCGTTTTTTTTAAACGATTCCAGCGGAGCATGTCTCTGACCACACTATCCCTTCATATGCTTAGGACAAAGAAATAGATGCACTCTACTTCACCTGCCCTGTATTCCGCCAAGTTCATATAAGCAACTTTATCATTCACATCTAGACAATAAAAAATTGAAAAAAAATAAATTAACATTGACGTATTAGTCTAGAACCCGTGCCACCCGCTTGAAAGCCGATTACAGTAACAACTTAGCTATTTAACTCGTGACGTCACAGAGGTTTTTTTTACACTATAGTTTATCACTTTGAGTCTCCTTATGCAACTTGATTTACGCGCATAGATCTAGATCTAAGTCTAGTAGTAGTAACTTTCGAACGCCCCCCACGATCAATCTTGGTACCAGGCGGTAGGACGACGTCCCGCGTCTAGTGGGTGGGGAAGGAAAGCCCGATGAGAGCCAACGGAAGTAGCGACCGATGCGTAGGAAACTCTCGTGGTCGGGGTTTGTTACACTGAGGCCTGCCTGGCTAATGGGAGCCCAACTCCTGAGCCGGTTTCCGTATAAGAAAGGAAGGAAATAGTAACTTTCAAATTAAATTTTATCTTAAATTTGCCAATTACATAGCTAAACAAACAAAGATTTATATAAAATAATGAAGGTCTGAAATTATCTAGATCTAGATTCTACGACTCGTTTGCTTAAGTCTTAAGTCTAGTTTTTACGTAAATCTTGCTCGATCTAGATCTAGAATCTCGATTTAATCATTAGACCTATTCTAGCTAGATAGATCTAGACCTAGATAGATAAATCACAAAGATTTATATCAAGTATTTAAGGACTAAAAAATTTATTAAGATTATAAAATGGATTGTATTTTTATCTAATTCATCTTTGGTATGTATCTAATTAATCTTTGGTTCGACCTAGATTCTAGATCTAGATCTATAAATAACTTGCTTGGCCACCTGATATTTTTAGATCTATAAATAACTTTCTTGGACAGATTGTAGAGCTAGAGAAATTTATTGTAAAACTAAATGAAGAAGACAGTTGAAAATTTGTATAAGTGTTGGAAGGTAATAAAAACAGCAAACGGACGTATTGTTAAAGTCATAGCCGACAGAAAATTAGCTTTATAACGCGTTAAACTTTTGAATGGGCCACAAAGTCAATGATGGAAGCCACCATGTTTTTGTACTAAAGAGTAAACAAAATTTGTGACGTCACTATTCAGTCAAAGATAGCCATTGTTCTAAAACTTTAAAATTAATGTGGTAAATCTACCTATGAATAAATCAATAAATTAATTAACATCTTAAAATAAATTTGTGATTAACAGTCTGTCTGAAAACAAAAATTGTTCTCTACCTACATACTATTTTACAGTTCTGCATATAGCGTAGATACTCTACAGTAGTCAATCAGACAAACAAACAAATAAATATTCAAACATGTAACCAAACATGAGTTTTAGTAGAATATAGATAGATAGATATTCAATGCCAGTAAATTGACACGTTAATTATTGTTGGTTTAGCTTTTTTTATTTTATAATATAACGTATCACTCAGCCGATTTATCTTTTGCCTGTCTATTTCTTGGATCTTTTATAATTGTAAACTTAAAAATAAAAGTCAGTATAAGAATGTTGGTATAAAACATTATTTCTAATGCTATAGAATGTATTGAAAAAATATATAATTCAAAAACTTTCAAGTGAGTGTTTCATTACAAAGTATGTTTTCTTACAAAAACCACGATCTGCTTTACTACAATTTATACGCATATCCCCAGCTCTGAATTGCAAGCCAAACGAGTTCCTATGTAAAGATGGCCAGAACTGTGTCCCCATGAAACTCACTTGTGATATAGAGGAGGACTGTGGCGATGCCTCGGATGAACGTTTAAATTGCCGTGAGTTTTATTTATTGATTATTTCCCTTTATTTTCTGTGGTACATGAAAGTTACTCGAAAAAACATATAAATATGTATATAAATGTATTTATATAAATATATATATATAGCCTCGGTCGGCTCTCGTGTGTGAAAATATCAATGATAACCTACACTGCAAAAGTAGGCCCAACTAGATTAACACTAGTGAGAAATTATTCGCCTCGCTGCCGAGTGTATAAACATAGAGCTAAGCTGGTAGAAAAATTAATTCGGCATGCTAGAGAAGCATGAACATGGAACTACCGCTGAAAAACTATCAACTGTCAATGTCTTTGAATGCTTATAATTAACCACTGTGCTATTGCATTTAGCGATGTTCTTATTCATATTCAAGTCTGGCTTTGTTTTTCAAATACATTGATGTTTTTTTTTAAATACAACACATAATTTATGGGAATAAGAGAATGGTTATGTAGAAGATTTGTGTTTATTTACAACACATGTTGCTTTTTCTCAGAATAGAAAGTAGAATCGTGACACTTGTCCGAAAAACACAACCTTTTAAATCGCTTGGATAACTAGTGGGTTAATTAATTCTGATAAGAAAAAAAATGTAATCTTTAAAAGTATAAAACACAGAGTTTAGTTAAACAGCATTTTAGTAACATTAAAAATAAATTAAGTAAGCTGTAATCCTGCATTTGAAATGACCGTGTCTGTATGTTTAACTTGACTATCTATTTACTTTGTGCTGAATCTAAAGTGACCATGCCTGTATATTTAGCTTTACCATCTACCGACCTTGTCCCGACTCTACACTGGCTATGCCTGTATATTTAACTTGACCACCTACCTACCACCACCTACCTGTCTGTATATTTAGCTTGACTGTCTATTTACTTTTTCCTAATTCTAAACTGACCTTGTCTGTATATTTAACTTGACCATCTATCTACCACCACCTACTTGTCTGTATATTTAACTTGATCACCTAAGTAGCACCACCTACCTGTCTGTATATTTAACTTGACCATCTAACTAAAACCACCTACCTGTCTGTATATTTAACTTGACCACATAACTACCACCACCTACCTCTCTGTATATTTAACTTGACCACATAACTACCACCACCTACCTGTCTGTATATTTAACTTGATCACCTAAGTAGCACCACCTACCTGTCTGTATATTTAACTTGATCACCTACCTAAAATCACCTATCTGTCTAAACATTTAGCTTGACCATCCACCCTCTTCATCCTTACAGCAACTGACTGCTCACACAAAAACCAGTTCAAATGTGCCTCTGGAAACGAATGCAAGTCAAGGTTTTTTGCCTGCGATGGTATCGCCGACTGCACTGACGGGTCAGACGAACAAAACTGCGGTATGATTTTTGTTTGTTTATTTGTTTGTTTTTTGTTTGTTTTTTGTTTGTTTGTTTGTTTGTTTATTTCTTGCTGGTTAGTACATGACTTAGTGACGGTATCCTAGGAGCTCAAGCGATAGCAAGGCCTAGCACCGCTAGACTGCTATCTGGAATGTTTCGCTTTCGAATCCAGGTTCAAGTCCGTAGAACGTCCCTGAGTCCACCCACCTCTAATAGATACCTAACTCGCATTAGGGAAAGCAAAGGCGGCTGTGCACAGTGAACTTCAGAATCCTTTTTCATAAACAGTCTGAGCTTAAACATCTTTTGTCTTACACTATTTCTTAGCATAAACATCTCCTGATTTACTTTACTTTAGCATCAACATACCTAATTGTAAAACATTTAATCCTAGACATTTCCTGTCAGAAAATATTTAAGGCTAAATTTTGTATACTTTTTAAAACCAGAAAACGCTTTATCTGATAATCTAAGCATCAGTGTAACATACTTGTCTTTTGAAAGCTAGAAACAGTGTGCCTTTAAAATATACTTTTCTATTTCGTGGAAAGGGATGGCGGGCAATAGACCCCCCCCTACCCGGATCCTGAAAAGATGCCTGAAAGAAACTGCCAAAAAAACGCTGTCGCTGATAATCTTAACCCCAATCATCAATGTAGCATTGTAGTTTTTTTTTAAAGCCGGATAACGCCTGAAATCAGTGTAACTCTTCTGTCATATATTTACAGAGAAATTCGTGTGCTCTGACGGTGAAATCAAGTGCGACAACCACCTCTGTATTGAGGCGGACTGGAAGTGTGACGGCAACAACGACTGCGGTAACAACTGGGATGAGACCGGATGCAGCGGTTAATTAATCAACCATCGATTGAACTATTTTACAAATCACGTGCCAGTCTACATACATGCCCAAAAATATATGCACATTCGAGTGTATTTGTAAAATATGAGAATAAAAAGATATGTGACTATTTATTAAAAAATAAGTTTATAGAGATAGAAGATAAATAAATGTATTAACACGATCTACTTTGTAAGGAGCGTGATTTTTAAAATTAGTTTATGCTTGCTTATCTGCAGTAGCATAATATATATATATATATATATATATATATATATATATATATATATATATATATATATATATATACCCGGCATTGTTCGTGTTTAGGAAATATAGGAAATATATTAGTTTCCAATAAACACTAATCACAACCAATCAAAACCAAACACAAAAAAACGCAAATAAAACACAAATTCAAACACAAACAAAAACACGAACAAAAACGCATACACAAACCGTGCCACAAACACAAACACAAAAAACGAAAATAAACCCAAACACAAAAAAAAACACAAACGCAAACAAAAAAGCAAACACAAATACAAATAGAAAACACAACCGCATATCTAAACGCAAACAATAACTAAAATAATGCAAATAAACGCAAACATAAAACCAAATTTAAATGCAAATATAAAAGCATACTGCTCATAGTCCAGCCCGGGGCGACAAATTACACCATGCTGAGGTGCCGGTGGAACCGCCTGATTCAACTTAGTAAACGACTAAAGTACCCCCAACTTATTCTTAGTCTTATGTGCTCACTTCAACAAACGTAGGCGCCAAAGCGAACACGGGAAAACCCGAGGCACCAAATAGCACTCTGTCGGGGCGCCAAATAGCACCCTGTCGGGGCGCCGGGGGACACCCGAATTCGATTCAGATAAACACTATAGTTACCTTTCTTATACAAAGTCTATCGCACTGTTTGAAACGAAATTATGCACCATAGCGCTCCCAGGATAGCCCAGGGCGCCAAATCGAACCCTGCCGGGGCTCCGGCGCACGCACATGATTCAAGTTAGTGAACGAATGTAATACCCCAAGCGTATCCGCACACGGAAAGATAAAATTAAACATAGATTTAATAAAGAAAATGCACACATTTAGCTGGGGATTAACGAATGTGTTGTTTATATAGATTGTGCGTAATCTATGTTTGTGTCAAAATCAGGCTTTCAGGGGGGAACAAAACTAAAATATCTAATTCGCCTAATAAAGGAAATCCACTGCACGATTCACCGGCATGCTCTTGCAATCAAAATATATTCCAACTTTTGCAAGAGTAGGCCCACTTAATTAGGTTATAAAAATCTTTAACTTGCGAGGTTCGTCTTTTCTATACGGTAGTATGCTGGTTGTCCAAAGTAAATATTGTGAATCGTGTCTTTAAACTGAAAGATGAAATCAAGTTTATTCTAAAAGTGCACTGGAAACATGACTTTTTAAACTTTAATTTTAAAAATCGGATGTGCCTGATGATTTTTAGTATTTTCGATAACTAAACACACACAAATTTCCAACCAAAAATATTTTAGTTGTTTTCATTTTGTTAAAGAAAATGTAAATACATATGGCATAACTAGGACATGTAGTTTTTTAAAAAAAGCACAATTCGATAAAAAAATGATTGCCCGTGTTTTGAGAACAGATTACAAAAAAAAAAAAACTGGGTTCGCAAAAGATCTATCACGGAGTTTTTTGTTCGATCAATCGACGCTGATCAACGCCACACTGTCTATCACTGGGCGACCGAATTTACTGTTTTGAACCGAGAATTTTTGTCTCAGCCGGTTTCGTGCGTTTTGTCCACGAACGTGACTTTGTTATTTGTATGCTGTTAATTAATCTTCAATACTTGATATGAAGTAGGTATTATTCTGGGCTCGTATGTTTATGTTATGTGTTTATCAGTGGGGTAGCGAGGTCGGGTGTCACCCGGTGCGGCACTTAATGGTGTCACCCTCCCAGAGGCGCAGCGACCCTTCCCGGCGCCTGGGGACAAACTTTCAATTTGGCGCGCTCTCTGGATCAACCTTTCGATTTTCGATTTGCACCTTTTCCTTGAACTTTCGATTTACACCCCCCTACCCTCAAACTTTCGATTTGCACACCCCCCCCTCAAACTTTCGATTTGCACCCCGTCTTTCGATTTGCACCACCCTCTTTTAATAAATAAAACACATTTTAAATTGTACGCCACCTTGGCTTAACCTTGGCCAAATATTGGTAGTGAAACTTGGCATGATATTGGCGCAATATTGGCACAATATTGGCTATATCCCGGCTACATATTGGCCCAACATTGGCTATATCTTGGCCCAAAATTGGCTATATCGCGGTCCCAAATTGGCAATGTCTTGGTCCAAAATTGGCTACATCTTTTCCCAATAATGGCTATATCTTGGATATACCTTGGCTCATCCTGTATTATAAAAAATATTTAGATTTAGATTATTGTAAAATTATAGCCTAATGCCAAAAAAAAACAGAATATAATAGGCCCATTATCTCGAATAAACTACCTTTTATTTGAAGCGATATGCTAAGCAAAATTTCTTGTTTTTCGCATGAACTTTTGGATACTTTGTCCATTTTTGTATTAAGAAACTAATTACTTTAATAAGAAAAAAATGTATGTGTTTAAATTACCATTTTTGACCCTATTAATTAAAAACTAATCGATTTTTCCCGATCTAATAAGCACTCTAACAAAAGTTTTAAATCCGTCATCATATTGTAATTGGCATCATTGGAAAGCTGGAAGTTTCATGTGTTTCATAATCTTAATTTCCATAATCTCGGAAACACCCAAATCTTACAATCCGCTTTGCAGTTTACACAGATATGGCATTTTCGTGACCTAATTTTCTCTTAGTATCAGAGGCGTCGGGAGGCGGTGGCGGGGGTGCGGACCGCACTGGACGACACCATTTAGGGGGTGACACCATGGCGAAATATATAGAAATATGCTTTTTGCAAGTTAAATTAATAATGAATTAGAGTTCATTCAACTGTATTAATAACTGACAATAGATAAACATCTTTACTATTAATTGTGCATATTTCAAAATTATAACCCTTAGATTTGGGGAGTATTTTGAAGAACTTATAAGTCAAGCAATAACGGGGAAGGTGGTGACACCAAAATCTAATAATTTACGATGAAAACGATGCTTTTTTTCACATGAAACAATAGGTGTATTAATATTATAATGTGCGCACAAATTGACGCCATTAGGCAACTATATAGGCCTATGTAGGCAATAATAAATATATATAATTTGGGGGGGGGGGGGGGGGGGTGACACCATGAGATGCCGCACCGGGTGACACCCAACAAAGCGGTCCTAGGACCTTTGACCACAGGTGCTTTGACCATAGGGGGTTTGACCATAGGGGGTTTGACCACAGCGGAGCTTTGACCACAGGGGCTTTGACCATAGGGGGTTTGACCACAGCGGGCCTTTGACCATAGCGGTGCTTTGACCATAGGGGGTTTGATCATAGGGGGTTTGACCATAGGGGGTTTGACCACAGGTGTTTTCTCAGCAGAGGGTCTTTGATCACAGGTGGTCTATCAACGGGTGTTTGATCACAAGCGCTGTGTCCGGCTTTGATCATAGGTGTTTAGTCCACATAGGGTCTTTGATCTCAGGTGTTTTGTTTCCAGTTGAATCAAATGCACATGATTGGCGATGGTGTAGCACGAACAAATAACATTTGTGAAGGATGGCATTACAGTCTTCAGTCTCTCCTCCAATGTAGTCACCCAACAATGTGGCGTTTCCTTGAAGGTCTACAGATGGACTGCACACGGCAAAAGACAACTTTCTTGCAAGGTGTCGCAGGGGCAAGCTACCCAGCTGAGAAGCGATACAAGATGCTGCACGAAAAAGTACAACGTGCTGTCTAGACATATGGTCAAACAGATGTACTGACATATTTGCGTGCTATAGCACATCTGTAATTTAGTTAACCATTTTATGTATTACATCTTTGACTATATTGTTGGCAAGTTTTGTATCATTTTTATTATCCTTTATATATGCTATGTATTTTCAAGTACATCTACATTATTTATTTGTGAAACTTGTTATATGTCGCATTATTTGTGTTTCATTTATATTTAAAATAAATCTATGAGGCCTAGCACCAGCCTTTATAGTTCTTGTCTTTTTTTTAAAATACATGTTAATTTCTATTAACGTACTCTCAGGAAACATGTATAAAATCGTGTTAATTGTATCACACCTATGATCAAAACCGGACACAGCGCTTGTGATCTAACTCCCGTTGATAGACCACCTGTGATCAAAGACCCTCTGCTAAGAAAACACCTGTGATCAAACCCCCTATGGTCAAACCCCCTATGATCAAACCCCCTATGGTCAAAGCACCGCTATGGTCAAAGGCCCGCTGTGGTCAAACCCCCTATGGTCAAAGCCCCTATGGTCAAAGCTCCGCTGTGGTCAAACCCCCTATGGTCAAACCCCCTATGGTCAAAGCACCTGTGGTCAAAGGTCCGCGCACCAACAAAGCGACGCCACTGTGTATGCCATTTCATGCTAATTTAAAGTTAGTATGTAAAAGAACACAATGAATACAGAGAGCATTGAAACATTGTATTAAATTATATTAAGTCTATTAAGTCTAAGACAATTACAACCTACATACTTCATACTAAATATTTTCATGTGTTAAGAATATTACTATATACGACATACATTACATTTCATTAATCATAAGTTGATTTGCACTCTCGGAATATTTAATACATCTATCTATCTATCTATCTATCTATCTATCTATATACTACTAAAAGTCAAGTTTGTTTACATGTTTGAATATTTATTTGTTTTTTTGTTTGTTTGTTTGCCTGATCGACTATTGTGATATGTTCGACTCAATCTGGATAGCTGTAAAATAGTATGTAGGTAGAGAATAATTTTTTAATGCAGACAGACTGTTAATCACACATTTATTTAAAGACGTTAATTAATTTATTGATTTATTCATACGCAGAATAACCCATTTTTTTAAAAAAGATTAAAACGACCACTACACTCGGCGGGACCGTGACGTCACAGGTTTTTGTTTACTCTTTAGTACAATAAAATGGCGGCGTCTATCGAAGAAAATTGTGTTCCCATTCAAAAGTTTAACGCGTTCTA